ACGTGATTACACCGAAACTTGACCGAATGACGGATCTTGGCTCGCGAGGACCGTACGATCCTTATTTAACTCTTGGACTCTTGCGGCGAGTTATGAGCTCAGCTAGATCTGGTACAAATTAACTCTCCAGCATGTCCTCCGCCCATAAGGCTGCACTAGTATCCCAGATGAGGCATATGCTACATGAGCTGAAAGGTTCGTTCCAGCTGTGTCGCAGACACCGTCTTTATTGTCGCAGAAGTCGTGAAGCCGGTGAGCATAGGCGGAGAGGTCGAGCAGCTAGGCCCGAGTATATGGGTGTGGACAGACAAAAGCAAATGTTTTTCCTCTCTGGTATACGATGATGTTGCTTCCCTGAAAGGGTTCTTTTCATTCAAAATAGGCTGTATAAAAAATTGCTAGCTAGCCTCAGAGGCTGAAAATTATCGTTGCACGCTACGATCCAAGAGGTTTATACCAACAGGCTTCACAAAGCACACATCCGCGCCAGCGCCTTCCGCCTCTGTCCTATCTGTCGGACTATCTTGATCGGTCAAGATGGCGCTCTCTTTCCATCAAGTCCGCTTTTTTTCCATCAATTCCGCTTTTCCAGTAACCTGATCCGTCGTGTGGTTTCAATACCTTCACACGCTGGCATTTGAAGGTCCATGACAACCAATTAGATCGCAGGCTACTCGACACTTGCGTGTGATGACTGAAACTGAGAAAATATTTCCACGGCATGGAGGCCATCAGCTACGCAGTAGTATGAGAAACCTCGCTTGCGACAATAAGACAATACATCTCCAGAACGCGCAGGTTGACGACGTTATCGTCGATGAGCAATGCTGTAGGCTTGGGAGTCACTTTCAACACCAACAAATCCTCGAAGAATCTTCTCTTTCATTGTCATAACTTCTACTGGCTGGTGTTTCTGCCACATCTGGAGATCATACCTGCGCAAGTGTGAACAAACCAGGAATCAACATTATCAAATATCAACTGCAAGTCCTTGAATTCTACTATGAGTAGGCGTACTCCCGACACATTATCGCATGGAGCAGCAATAACACGAATTAGATGGGAACTCCGGATTGTTTGTTTCAAAATAAAGCCATCGATGCAGTCGGTGTCTTCCCATAGGCCGCTTTCAAGGGCAGACGGTAAAATCTGGCTTGGCCCTTCAAGTTCAATGTACATAGTCTTGGACGATTGTAAGGTGATCACTGCATCAGGATATGCGGCCCGTAGTATTCCTAAAACAGGCTCTTTTGCGACCGTGTCATTCATATCACGTCGCACTGTAGAAATCAATTCAATCATTCGACGGTGTTCTCTTTGCCGGCTTGCTCTTGAATATTGAACTACATCGAAAACAACCCAGTCGGCCAGTCTGACGAGTGTCTGTTGTTGTGATTTGGGCAAAGTCTCCTGGCTCGTGGAGGAGGTCACAGAAAGTGAACCAAGTCCAATGCACTCTCCGGATTCGTCTTGTAAACGAATTGGTGCACCTGCATATGCCCGGAGTCCCCCACATTCGAGGTATTGCACATTCGAGGTATTGTGACTCTTGGAATCTCCAGTCCTCCACAAGCTTCGGCAAGAGGAAGACACTCTAGGAAGCAGGGCGAGCGATTTTTAATCAGAGGAAGAGCCTCTCAACTTACCTCGGAGGCTAAGTAACTGTGTGCGCACATATGGTTTCACCGCGGGGAAGAACGCCAAGTTGAATTCCAACTGTGGCTAAGCGAACGTAGAAATTAATGTCTTGGATGCTGATCACTGCGAATTCCCATCCGATCGATTCCTGGTCAAAGCGTGCCTTCTCCTGAAGCTCAGAGAGAAGCTCGCTCTCTTTTTCTATATTGTAGGTGAAGTACCAAGCATTGACAGCCGAAGCTGTCCGTTTTTGGCCAGGGAGGGGCGAGGATATCGATCCGCGGAGCACGAAGGCCGTTGCAAAACTGTGGACGGTGCGTATGGGTCGGCTTTCGGGGGTTATAAAGATGTTTCCACTTCTGGGGACGCCATTCTAATTGGTTCATCGAATTTTGCTGGGTCGGAGATGGGGCCAACGATCCGCGGCTGTGTCAAGCGATGATAGGCGCATCCGCCATGGGGAAGTATGCCCTCCACCACCCCCCGCCCCAAAAGAGGTAAAGGGTTTCTTCCATATTCACAGGGGAGACCATGATCTCAAGCGAATGGATGAGAGCAGGAATACAGATGCGTCGCGAATCGCACCAAGCATGTGAAATCGGTGGGGCGAGGGGAGACTCGGGAGATCAAGGTTCACTGGTGGAATGAATGGGAGTCCGCGTGGGAAAGAATAGCGAGAAACATCGTGATGTCTGATAAATAGAGTTACCTGACTGCGAATTCTCGAACAAGTCAACCCGTCGAAGTTGGCAATAGTGATCAGGCGGGCATACCCAAGGAGGTCGTGAGGATCCTCCAGGGGAGTCAGCAATGGTCAGCGATACGGGGGGATTTATTCTGTCTCAACTTTCAGGGCCACAGGGAAATTACCTGACGAGTATAACTACGTATAACTACTTCGTGGCCAACGTTGACTTAAGCTCATGTTACCTTCAAGACCTCGCCTTCAGTGTTACTCTCCCCCTTTTCTTATGGGGTTTTTTGATCTTTGGCAATACTTATGGTCTAAAATGCTGCCATTCTCCACCGCCAGATTAAACCCACGCTTTTGAGTGTACTCTAGAAGGTGGACCTCTATTGCCAGTAATTGAATGCTGGCTGCGTGCAGGGCCAATTGTCATGTTGCCATAAGGGTCGCTATGCAATAGAACTACATAAATATATGTCTGGCCTAAGTCGAGGCATTGCATTAGATTGATATGGACGCCGCTATGATGTGAAAAAAAAATAAAAATAAAATAAAATAAAATTCACACACATCACAAGACCGCATTAGTACCCTAGCAAACAAATGGGCGCCTAGCGAACAAGGTGCCTAGCAAGAAGTGGTAGGGACGATCAACATTCATCCCACGCCGAGGAACTCTCGTCGTTGTGGCGTAATTTGTTCTCAAGAGATTTCCGGGCGGGGTTAAGGCACCGAGACGAAATCGCCAATAACCAGTAAAGAGGATAAACGGGACTTGATGTGGTTAGGATCATCACTCACGATAAGAGATTGACAAACAGCTGTGACATTATTGTCCGACTATAACGGTCCACTACGGAGGGGTCCTTCCTTGACATACAGTACGGTGCATACATCAACCGAACCCCTTGCTTAGATACCACTGACCATGGCTGACCCCGTGACAATGTCACGTTCAATGTTTTCTCCCAAGTACTCATAGGACCAAATGTCGTCGTGGTTCTATAACAGGGATGGATCTAGTTCATAAGCTACCCTATGCGTCAGTCTGTGTGAGAGGTACCCACCACATCACAGCTGGTATTACCGCAGGTAGTGATGTCAGACTCCGCTTCCCCGGTGCGATTAACGTGCCCATGGGGATGGCTGAGTCGGCACCCCACCGAGTTGAAAGGAAATAGAATTCCTCCTTGGAGACGAATCAATGCAACCCCACCTTGGCAGTGTATGAAATTCCCGTTGGGTTTTTCATCCAACTGTTTCAGTTCTGCCGAGCCTGACAAGACCTGCAAGACACGCTCTCAAAGGGTTGGGCCTGGATTAAGTATTGCTTTTTTCCCACGTACCAGGCCACGTGGCATCAGTAAGCTCTTGCATTTGAGTGAAAACGTGGAGGAAATTTTAAGGTGAGGCAGTCGGTCGGCAGAGAGTCTGCCGAAATAGAGTTGAAAGGGGGCCGGGGGTTCCGCTGATTTCGACATCATCCGAAAAATGCCAAGGTCTAAATGTTGTCAGCAAGGCTCGGCGTCTCTGCGGTCCAGTCACCACAAAGCACGGAAATCGAGGCTGTGTTATCAAAGGTCGTCGTCGGCGTTAGCGTCCAAAGATAAGACTGACTAGTGACGAACTACTGATGACCGCTGTTGAAGATCATCCTTGGCAAGCTTTCTTACCGTGGTGCTTAAGAGCCACAACCGGACTAGGTAATGTAGATGCGTCGATCCCTTGGCAAAAGGCACTCACGATCTTACTGTATGGCCCAGAACAGGCGGTGCATCCCAAGATACGATGTCAGCTTAGGTCACATGTATGTTTGCACGGTAAACCTATAACACAGCAACTTGCAAGGATGATTCAAATCGACTATACCCACAGTCTCGGGAATTTGAATCCAGAACATTGGCGCCCACTTCTCAGCAAGGGGATAACCTCGCCGTAAACTTGTACCCGTGCCTGAAGGCTCCAGCTAATCGGTGAGCTGGAATTCGAACTTTCAGAATCACCGATGTAAAGGAGCCGAGACTTGTCACACTCCACCGGCGAAGACGAATTCCGAGTAGGGAATCCTCCGAACGTCATAGAGTTTCATTTCTGCTCAAGGTCAAGGGCGGAAATCGCATTCAGCGATGATGATCAGTACGCCAAGGTCCCGCCGAGGCTCTGCCAAGATTGCATATGCGCGATGAATCTATCCACGTCTGGAGGAACTGATTAGGCTTCCCAATTTAACAAGACCCTTCAGTTTTCCTTCAGCTCTTTGTTCTTCTATGTTATTTATTGGTTCTCTGTAAGCAGAGTATGGTGGTCTAGACCTTCTCTCAATAAATACACGCTACTCGATTCGCCGTATATGTGAGAGCAGTGTCACACGTATGCGCGCATTGTAAGGATGGGATGAGTAGTCCGGTTTCATCTTTTCTAAGTTCGCTCTTATCTTTCTTGTCAGTCACCCTTTTTATCCCTTGTGTGGGAAGGATCGGAATGCGCACGAAAACGGGGTCTGTACCAAAAGAGTTAAAAAAGAAAATCGAATAAAAATATGCATATGTTGATCTAGATTACATATATACCGCCCGCCTCTCCTAATTTTGGGTTTCTGTGAGCAATCATACCTTTTTCATTTGTGTACTTGGAGATGACCGGTTATATAACTGATATCAAGATAAACTTCACAATGCACCAACAATCTTCCTCCCTGCCAGAAAACATACAACCACCGACTTCAGCAGCCACCCCCAACCATGGAAGTCTGAGCATATCCCAGGACACCCACCCTGTTCTTTCTTCCAATCTTGATCCTCCCAATGAAGAGTCAAAGTATACGCCTGGGCTTTGGTCATCCGGAGGCAGCACAACGGTCTCCCTCTCTAGCAATCAAATTGCAGAAAGCACAACAGTTGGCTCGGTTCTCAGCCGCCACTTTCGAGCCAATATAGACACTAAGCATACTGATATAGTCCTCATAATATGTGGATTCGTTGGTGGCCTGGTTGATGGGTTGTCATTCAATGCATGGGGAAGCTTTTCGAGTATGCAAACAGGTGAGTCACCTCTAATTCCAAATACTTATGCACTACTCGAGGGAATGGTTCTAATAACATGGGTAGGGAACACTGTTTTCCTAGCTTTAGGGCCTTCCGGCCAGCCTGCTTATCCGGCATACCTCTGGGCCAAGTCTCTCATCGCTCTCAGCGTTTTTATTGCGAGCAATGTTTTCTTCATTCGCCTCCATCGGATACTAAGCCCACGGCGCCGCTCAACAATGATTGTCTCGTTCACCATTCAGACTTTGGCTCTCCTGGTGACAGCAATCTTAATTCAGCTTGGTATTATTTCCCCAAAGCCGGAAGACCCTCGTGCCCCCATTGAATGGATGCAAGTTCTCCCGATTTCCCTTTTATCTTTCCAAGCTGGAGGACAGATATGCGCCTCCCGCATTCTTGCACTAGATGAGATCCCAACAGTGGTATTGACAACGCTTTTATGCGACTTACTTGTCGACCC